CTGTTACTTAATTATTTAGGAGTAGTGTGAATTGCAATGTTGGAGGTCTATATCATTAGGAAACCCTTTAAAACCTATGAAAATACAGTTGAAAGTTCAAAATCTGTTAATAAACAGTTTGTTCCCATTTGTTTGTCCATGATGGTCTCTGCACTGTTTTTCATGAAATAGATTTGTACTGCTGACACAAAACACACCAGTTCATGCATCTGAATAGTATTTATGGTTCAATATGTGCAATTTCTTGAAGCAACGGGGATAATAAACATCAGACAACATTAGCAGGTCTATTGCTGACTGCATTCAATGCAAAAATTGGGTGAAATATTCTTACAGAAGGCAATGCTAAATGCTCCAGATCTGGACATTAAAACATTTTTGTGTTATTGTATCCTCAACTCTCTAATGAAGCACTACTGCTGGAAACGGCAGCTGTGATCTTCGGCCGCAGGGCCGCCATGGAAATTAAGATGGCCTCCTGGTGACAGGAAGAAGGAAACGAATAAAAACACAGTCAAGCTGCAAAAGTGTTTATTATGGTTTATGATTTGAAAAATGCTTTTCAAACAAATTTTGAATAACTGGTCTCACCTCGGTACGAATGGTCCTGCTGCCCTGACCGGGGCAAGTGTTGAGGTAAAGGTCAAATAAAACACTGGGGTCAGTTACATCCAGCTTTTGGTCGGCATCTAAACTGGCCTCCAATCCCTGAAGACCTCCAAAAACGACCAAGAGATGCCTGCACAGTTAAAAAATAAATAAATAAAACAACCTCCGAGAGGATGTATTCAGAGACACTCGTTCTACCGCCCTAATGCTTACCAAATTTAACATATTCTGAATGTTAAGTTTGCACGCTAACGGTTAAAGGCCGCTTCAAGCAACTTACTTGAATGGCGTCAGTGATGCCTGGTCCGCATTGCTGCCTCTTTCTGATGTACCAATAGTCAAATCATATCCTCCTTTAAAGGGGCTTTCAGTAAAAACTGCACCTGCAGGAACGGGAAATATACAAGAGTGTGGATAAAGCAGTGGTTGGCAGTAGTCGTTGACACAGACTGCAAATGAATGCAAAGCACAATGTTGAGAGTTAAATGGGAAACCTACTGAGACAAGATGCCAGACGAACACTGTAGCCCCAATAATAACCACCTTCAGTCCTGGGCACGTGAGGAGCCACGACAACACCTTTATATGCTTTGCCTTCTGCAGACAGTTTCACAGATAGATGGACCCAAACTTAACTGATGTGCTAAAAAAATTTTTTTTAAAAACCTTGAGAGTCTGGTGAAGAAAAGTACCTGGATTTTGTGTCTTGCTGAGCCGTACTGTGACTCGTAGTCCAGGCTGCAGCTGCTTATCAATCTGAACTTCCTGTGGGACCAGGAAAGTGAACATCGTTCAGTTTATATTCTTAGATAATTACCAATAAATAAAGAGTACACTAACAACAGCTGTGCTCCCAGTGCAGAATAGCTCACCTTTCTCATTCCACAGTCGACAAACGACCCTTTATTGTGTTTGGTAGGCCTGTCGACCACGACGCCTTCCCTGTAGTCAGATTCCTCGTCTATCCTCATGTGGTGAGGACTGTCTAGAGGGTTAAGCAAACCTACCAGAGAGAGAGAGAGGGGGAGAAAAAGATTCCTGATTGATGATCATGAAAATCATGAAATATTTCACACCGTATTTAATTTCAGACTCATCACAAGAACAGCTGTTTATCAGGTTGTTGTTTTTCTTCCATTTGTTACTAAGTTACCTGCGTACTGTAAATCTTGATGCTTTGGGAAGAAGGCCTTGCGCAGATATCTGATGGAGAAGAAAAGCTGGACTATCAAAAGGGATAAAATGTACTGATCAAATCAATAATGGTGATCTGATTTTCTCCAAACTTACTGTGGACATTCCAGATACTGAAGTATTCTGGCAAGTTGAATGCAACCGTGTCCCCTCTTCCCAACACCGCTAAACTCGCCCTCCACACTCCTGTGAAACACAAACAGAAAGCAAACTCCTTTCCATTAGCTGTCATGTGGGTCAAGGCATATTTAATCTGCAAGTGGGCACTCTATGAAAACGTACTTGACATCTTCCCCTCGTTCATCAAACACTACGATCTCATCAACAGAGAAAACAACGCAGGCGCGGGCGATCTGTCCGGCCAGGTACGTGCGAAGTTCAGGAGACTGAGCATTATCCAGGATAGACCCCGGCAGAGCCAGACTCACCGTGTAAGCCCGACCTGGGAGAAAAACAGATTAGTAATTATAGCACTCATCACCTATTACATAGGACAAATCAACAGTATAATGTTGTTACCTTTTTTGCTCTGGCTCAGTTCAGTTTCTGCTTTCTCAGCAGCCTCTTGCTGTTTCTGTTTTTCTAGTCGATTGATCAGCTTGGCCTCTTTCCTTTGCTTCTTAGCCTCCTTTACTGGTATTCAGGAAGAATCATTGACATTTACAAAAAAAAAAGAGCTCATTTCTAAATAATCACTGTGAATACCTAAATCTTAATTATCTGGACAGAAGTACTGGGCCACCTATAGGTTACATTTACATGACCTACTTGGTCATGGAAGCTCCCAGCACAGTGCTTACGCTGATGTTAATGGTTTGAAACTGTACAGTTACTTGGTCAGTGGTGTTGTTTTACACAGTATGCACCTCAGCACCTGGTGACCCCACTCTGTAGCTTTAAAAGTGAGTTGCTGTGGTTCCTAAATGCTCCCACTTTGCAATAACACCACTCACAGCTGACCCTCTAGGAGGGAAGATATCTAGGAAGTCTTTAAAACATCCTGTTCTTTCACAAATGTTTGCAAAAACGGGTTGGTTATTTACACTTTTGGCAATGGTGCTGAATAAATGGCCCAACAGTTTTGTCCATAATGTATATATAAATACAGAATATATGTTTCCACTATAATTGTATATTGTAAAACAAAGGATTTTGATTAATAGTTAAGACGAACATGCTACATTTTATCTTGTGTTTTAATAAACTCCCTCTTCCGGTTTTCGACTGCTGAGCAGACTTACATTGTTATGTGCTTTTTTTATCAATAACGAAATCTGCATTAAGCATGTTGTCAATACATGACAAACCTTAAAATGGATATGCACATTAATTCTCACAAAAATAAAGTTTTTTCTTTCTTTCTTTTTCTGTTTTAATGTCCAAAACAGCCGTATAGTATTGGCAGGGATGCAGCTAAAAACCTGTTAGCTACATGCAGCTAGTTAGCTGTTTACTCACTTTCCGCTTTCCTTTTCTTCCAGTCCACCTTCTCGACTGGCTGCAAACATGAACAAAGGACAGAAAAGGGGTGTAAATAAAGACACGCATCAGTGGTTTTGTTTGTTTTAAGTGTCAAACAGTAACAATACCTGAGAAGACCCAAGATTGGGTCGCTTCACTGCAAAGCTAGAAGACATATTCAAGCGTCGATGTACCAACACGTGAACAGTCTTTACTTCCAGGTCATGTTCTGCGTTGCCCGCAAAGCACTTCCGGGAAGTCAACCACGTGACGATCCAGTTGCTCTTCTCATGCTACAGTCACTGCCTACAACCGCCTTAATTTTGACCTTATATAAATTATTATAACACACCACTCTCTGTACAAATAATATATATTTTAAAAATATATAAAACATTTAAAATGATAAAATATTCGATCATTTCCCGTGGGGGTAAAAAAGTAAAAATTTACATCCATAAATTTGTAGTTCTTAGCAACTAATAGTGTCTTAAATTTGACTGATTCTAGCTATTTAAATAAGCTGTTATTAAAACTGCTATTAAATATAAACTGGATCAAAAAGCATCTCAGAAATCTCATATCTTCATTTGGAGCTACATTATTCAGAAATTCCCAATTGACCTCTCCACTTTCCATAAACAAGTACTTTCCCCCCGTTTATAAGTCAGCTGTTCAACAATGTTAGTTAATTTTGCAGGTACAGAGCGTTCCGAACCAGATACAACATACCGATAATCCCAGAGGAGATCCGTATTGATTTTGATGCCAAGTCATCTGGTTTGTCACTGTTTGATGGAAACAACCATAGCTCAGATGCTATTTTCTTCATTTATACATGTGTGTAAACTTGCTTGTAATAAATAGAGGCCACGGCATTAAAAACACTTATTTCTGTAATGGCAAGGTTCAGCCCAAATTACTGTGGCATGTGCAAAGTCCAGCATGATGCCGTGTCTTTGAAGAAACAATTTAAGAATGTGTCTTTAGGCACAAAATCATCATAAATACCAAAGGTAACACAGTGCATACAAACCTTATTGAAGATGACAAACACTTTACAGTGCAAAAACATGTATATTATAAAATTGTAAGTGCTTTATGCTGATATTAATATAAAGTTCAAAAATGGGTAGATAACTGGTTTTATGGTTTTACATTCAGGAGGCACCCTTAACCACAAAACAAGAAGTGAGACACTGATATCTTTGAAATACATTTTTAATGAACTGACAAATTAATAGCCGTGTCACAGTATGCCACTATTATTATTTTGAATTAATACTGCTCTATGTGCTACCCCTCCTGACATCATTATTATTAGTAGTAGTAGTAATAGTAGTGGTATTATCATCATCATCATCATCTGAAAGCACACACAACTCTTTCTACCCTTATCTAGCACTTCTTGTTTCTTGTGCTAATGTCAGATTTTCACACCAAAGTCCTTTGATGTAAAATGAATAACAGCCTTTAAAATGATGGCAGTTACATCCAATCAATAGAAAAATCTACTCGCAGAAAACAGAATTCCCATTTTTAGTGCAACACTCATACGCCTCAATTCTTAATGCAAAAAATGAGACCTTCTATTAGTGAATGTATTTCATTGTATAAATCCTTACCAACAGTTGTTGGTTTAATTCCAGCCAGAGACAGAAAATGGATGGTTTTATTCATCCAGTATAAAGCACTGCCAAATGAAGCAAGTGGAAGTACCAGCTTTGGTGCCCACTTGTGGTGGGAGAGTGGCTGTTACAGAGTGAATGGGTGGCTCATGTTCCCAGTCTTCCTCAGCCAATGGCTCATGTGAGAACAATTAATATTAGCAATCATAAAGTGATCAGGAATATATTGACTCTTCTCATCACTGATGATTAAATTAGACTGATTATTTGTGACTAATACATTAAGCCTGGTTCAGCGATACTCACATCCATCTAGAAATGACTACAAAATAAAAATTCTCTCTAAACAAATTCCTTTATCTGGCAGGAGTGCAACATAAGTGTTGATGAGGTTACTGAGCACAGAGCACTTATTTTACCAGTTTAATGGATGCTTTTATTCAGTGATTTCTTTACTTTGAATAAGGGCAAATATCCCTGGAGGTAAACTGTGATGTAGAGGTATATTGTTAACTTAAAAATATTTACTGAAAAATACTTCCTCAGTGATTGCTCAAGTGCAAGTGGATGCTCTGTCCGTGCACCTTTAACTGGATCAGGTCAACACCTGAGTTTAAGCAGACTGGAAGAATCTGGGTGGACGGATAAAGCCTCACATCAGTGGTAAGTTTACTCTTTCTGACTCCACTTTCTCAAGATGGCCTCTGCAGCATCCAGCGTGGAGTCCTCCTGTGAGGAGAAAGCAGAGACAGAAAGACTGACAAACAGGAAGTTGTTTCTTGAGATGTACCACTTCAGTAAGAAAGGTCAGGTTTACCTTAACAAAACAGAATCGGATGTACTTGTCAAACTCCTTGCTGTGCTCTGGACTGTAGAACGCAGAGACGGGGATTGTTGCTAAACCCTGCAGATAGAGAAGGCAGGAAAAAACAACAAAGAAAACTCAAAATCTGTGGCAATGGATCAGATTTTGACCACTTAGCATCAATTGTCTCCAATCGATGCTGAAAGTTTGTCCTGTTCATCATCAGTTTCCTTACATGGGGGCATCTATCCCCAACAGTTTTCTAGAATTCGCCAAGCTCAGGGAGCATTCATCAAAAAGTATGCAACTCTTTATGTCTCTGTTACCCACCCTTCAGATATGTACCACGCACTTTAATCGCTGGTCTAAGCAGAAGGACTTGATTGGTTATGTCTCATTAATGTGTTGTAGGTTTACATTTGAGAGTTTGAATCTTCAGTACTGTTTTTCACCTTTCAGGATTTTTTATTTTTTTTACCTCGATCTTCGCTCCATCTTCTCTATCCACCCTCCACCCTTGATCATCTTAAGGATGACCTTACAACATGTGCCCAGATCAATCATTTTATATCCCCACATTTACTCCAAACAAACGTCAACAAACTTAATAAAACCTTACACTTTTACCTTTTCTTTAATGAGCCATTTAACAAATCTGAAGTCATACAATTCATCCTTTGTGCTCAGGTCATTCAGGTCCACCTCTGTTTGAGGAAAAAAGACAAAAAGGTAAATACTGATTTCAGATGATGAAAGATGTATAAAACAAAGATGACTGTTCATCACTCACTGACTGAGGAGATGTCTGTGACCATGAAGTAGCCTCCCTCTGGCATGATAGGCTGCAGCCCCACGCTCTCCAGACACGAGGCCAGCTTCTTTCTTTTGTGGTGCAGCATCGTGGGAAGCTGCTGGAAGTAGCTCTCAGGAGTCCCAAACAGCTCATATTCCCGTTCAAATCCATGAGCGACTGCCTCCTGGTGGTAAGGAAGAAGGATGGAGAGAGTTTTAAAATTTAACCTGATCAAGCAATTCTGATTAGATAAAGCACAAGAAGAAAGAAACAAAACAAAATTGATCTGCTCAAATAGCTATAATTTCACAGCCCTACTAAAGTAGTATTAATATTAGTTTAGAAAGTATGCATTTACTTGAGCGGCTGTTGCGCAGTGATAAACAGAGTTCTGATGGATGGTTTTCATGTATTTGATGATATTTCCAGAGCCGATGGCCCAGCCAACCTGAAAAATATGAGTAAAAAAACAAATCAGATCACACTAACAACGTGTTGCAAAGACAATGACCCTAGAGACTGTGTGTTACCTTCCAGCCAGTAGCACTAAATGTCTTTCCGGCACTGCCGACAGTTACAGTTCTTTCCCACATGCCAGGAAGGCTGGCTGCCAAAGAATAGGAAAAACAAACATTAGATGACACGTCGGCACTGTCGCTAGCTAGTTTGTGTGTAATCTGCTATCCCACCTATCTTCATGTGCTTGGCTCCATCATACGTGAGCCATTCATACACCTCGTCACTGAAGCACAGCAGATTGTGCTTAATACACAGATCGGCAATCATTTGGAGCTCTTCTGTCTTGTAAACCTGTAACACACACGGATGCATGTTTGTATCCGAGAGTAAAGTCGATATATTAAATGAAAACATAGAAAATGGCAAGAAAATCAAATCCCATTAGTTGAAAATTTCACAACCCAAATCAGACTTATGTGCACGGTAACGGCCTCGTGAGGGCATAACTAATCTTACCTTGCCTAATGGGTTGTTGGGAGTGTTGATAACAATGGCTTTAGTGCGAGGAGTAATTTTACTGGCCAGCTCGTCAGCAGAAAGAACCCAGTCTCCACTTGATAGGATAGCACTGCCCTCTCTCTGTTGCAAATGGGAAAACACAAAAGAGAAGAAATATGTACAGGATCCATACATTGAGGATCCTAAATTGAAAAGAAAATGTGAAATTATCAGTTTCTATTCTATTTTTTAGAAACATGAACCACTCACTGGTCTCAGAGGAACATAAACTGCCTTTCCTCCAGCCATCACCACCATGGGCTGGTAGCAGTCAAAGAACGGTTCGATAATGATGACCTGAAACGTAAATTACTTTTTTAAGAGAGAGAAAAAACCAACTCTCAGTTCTTTATATTTTCACTTGAACGTTGATCACTAGTTTCTTGTTTTTTGACAGCACTACTTATCACTTTATTGATTTCTGTACCTCATCCCCTTCATCAATCAGACCCTGGAAAGCGCAGAAGAGGGCCTGATAAGCACCAACGGTCACCAGGATATCTTCGAGAGGGTCGATGTCCTGTCCCACAATCCTACTAAAGAATTTAGCCAAACTTTTAACAAGAGGGGGGTGACCCTGAGGAAAGAATATAATAAAAAAGCCATTCATTATTTGCTCTGCAACTATTTCAATTTCATCTGTCCTTTTAATCCCTCAGAAAAATGACTGAAATCGGGTCCCCCTTTGGGATGCCTTTGTGCTTACAAAAGCTCGGGTGTACTGGTGCATTTGAGGTCCTCCGTTGATGGCCTTGCAGAAGGCCTCCTGGATAAACTGCGGAGGGGAGAAGTCGGGAAATCCCTGGCCGAGGTTCACTGCTTTGTAATCTGCTGCGAGCTGTGTGAACTCAACCCTGTGGGCGTGAGGTGAGTGAGACAAAGCAATGATGTTACGAGATGTGTCAGTAAGAATGAAACAATCAGAGGGTTTGTTCCATTTCAATTCATCTCAGTTAAGAAGATTGTTGATTTCAAGCATCCATCATTCTATTTTAGCTTGAGTTACACTTCTGAGAATCTATATTTTAGAGTGGTAGCATCAGATATTTACCCTAAAATATTTGAAGGACCAAGTTTAATTAGTTTTCTAGACTTGTGAATCAAAAAATGACTCCTTAACTTAAAAATGACAGGGATCTGACATTTTTTTTAATAAGTCCTATTAAAACGTGTATCATACATAAGTATTTAATGCACATTCTTTTTGTGATAGTTGCCATTATATTCTGCAGAAATCTGCTTGGCTTGTGACAGACACATTTGCACTTGACCCACGATGACAGACTTGGGTAAAAGTTAAACGCTAAACTATGAAAGTGTTCAATGCTGACCTTTGTAAACAAGACGCAATCAAAATGTGGAAGTGTCTCAGTATTTGAGACGGAGTCCAAGGGTTAAAAATGCAGTGCAGTCCTTCATGAAGTCACACATCTGATCACTTGGGGCCCATCTGAGCAAACTGTAATTTACTAGCTCAACCATTAAGCCTAGGGCTGGGGACAACTACATTTATCCAAGGGCCAGAATTTTTCTCAGGAGACACTGTGAGTAGCTCTCATAAAATAAAATAAAAATAGTATCATAGGTAATATATTATTTAATTATGCTAATTATCTATTTCTAAATTTACGTTATTCCTTATCCCTTGTCACTGTTAATACTTGCATTACTTGTACTGGAGCAAGCCACTAAAGGGCGATTGTGATACACTATTTTAGGTTTCATATTTGTGAAGCTTTCAAGCTAATCATCGCCTACACATGCAATGTACTTGTACATTGTGGAGTCTGGGAATCTGCAATTTGTGTTTGCATCTTTTCACTGAATTTGTTTACCCGCTCTTTAATTGTTTGTCGTTTTAGCTGTGTTTGGTGGTCATAGAAATGGTTTTATAGCTTGGTGACATAAAACGTGCACATGAAACACTACAAGAAATGTTAAATGAGAGATACTACTTATTAGGCTATTCCTGTATTCAGTCATATTCTAGGGGCTGGGTGAACAGCTCTGGTGGGCTAAATGTGGCAATATTTCAATAATTAAAAATATGCAAAACCTTAATTAAATAAAACACCTGACTTTTTCTGCTGTCTATAATGACATATATGGATTCCACTATGAAGCACATTTTTATTAGTTTGTGACACTTTAAAAAAAAAAAAGAAAGAAAGTGGCTCAGCTCCAAACTGTGCGACCTTGCTCTCAACCAATCAGATGTAGGTGATACATCCGATTGGTGGAGGTAGGAGGCAGGTCATAAGCAACAAACTGGTAGAGTTTTATTTTTCTTCTTTTTTCAGTTAAACAATTTGTTTAGGAGAAGGCAGAAAGCAGGTCAGCTTAATTCAGTTCAGTGAAATATGCTGACAAAAACATTTCTGTTTCTGTTCTTCTTCTTCTTTTAACCATAAATCGCCCAATGAGCAAGTACCTGAATGCAACTTTAAACGTGCTCAGCAACTGCAGACTCTGTTGTGAAATATTACTTTGCTGTTATAGTTAAAATATTACACATATGATACTTTACCTTTGGTTGAGTAATCATCCCCCCAAAAACACGGACATTTCAGTGTATTTACTCACCAGACATTCTTATCCACCCCGTCTGTCCTGCGTGCGTGAAGTCGCCTGGACATTATGACCTGAAGCAACAAAACAAGCTTTAAAATACGCGGTCATGCTGGAGACCTCTGTCTTCAGTTTAACGGAGCTGTGCCTACCTTATGATTGTTTTTAACTGAACTCTGCCGAAGTAGGACCAAACTTGCTGCAATGTTCCTGATTATTCCCATTAATAAATTATCACAGCCTCACAGGAGCAGACGACATTTAATGTTGTCACTGAGTCCCTGCAGAAGGAAAAAATATCTGTAGACGTTTCTGTTCACCTGAAAGTCCAGGGTTGCTGTTGTTTGGGACCAGTGCGAGTTGATAACGAAGGTCCCAGCAACTCCCCTTCAGCCTCCTTGTGTTTTGATATCTACTTCCTGTGTGGGCGTGGCGAGATATTACAATTAGAAACGTCACGGACAACAGACAAACACGGGCCCAAAACTCAAACCGCGGTTCAGCTCTGTTGACGTATATGTCATCAACTAACCATATGCTAGCTTTTATTTTTTTAAATACTGTTTTAAAAA